AACCCCCTGTCCCTGTTATTCCTACACCACTGGTTTCTAGAACTTAAAACATTTTTGTAAACTTACCTTTATTTTGGCATGGAACCTTTGCCTCCCCTGGGTTTTCTCCAACATAACTCTCAATCTTTGAAAAGGTTATTAAAGTTGCAACTTTGAAACGAGGGACAATATTTCCTTTTGTATAAAAACAGACTCTTAATTTTGCAGAGTGGCCAAAGCATATTGTCTGCTCCATTCTTTCCAGCTTGGAAGCTCTGTGGCATGAGTTGCTGAGGACGGGGAGGGTAAGAAAGAGCTCTGGCTATGGTGGAGAGGAAGGAAGGGACACTGTGCCTGTGGGCTGCTAACCCAGCAAACTTCCCTCGGCAGCCTGCGGAAACATTTTCCAGATTTTGTCAAGTCTTGCTGGGGTTCGGTGGTCAAAGTAGGGGGACACTATAAACTAAACTCAAGCTGTTCTTACCACCTGATGGTTCTGGCAAAGGCTGTCCTTCTTAGAACTTGTCCAAATCTGACCTTGTCACCCCACAGATAGTGCCCAGCTTTCAGTGGCTTGATTGAATGAGTTTTTCTACTTGACCACAGGGAGAATGTGACACTCATTCAGCACATACCGTACTTTCTGAATTTGAATGTTCCTTTGGTCCAGTGAGTGGTCGTCTGGTCTGGTACTCTTGATGCTGAGTGGGGACTCTGAGTCCCCTGAGTCCCATGATCACAGAAAATGTGATTCAAGGGTTAGAATTAGGATCACAAAGAATTTTTATGTTACTATGAGTTGCATTATGATCCCCCCCAAAATGCTGAAATTACATAAGTTCTACATCTATAACTGAGAATTTATTTGCAACTAGTTTGGGCAGTTGGTTCAGTTAAGTTGGTCATTAGAGGGGGCCCTAGACAACCTGAGTGGTGTATTCTGGAAAGGAGAAATCTGGAGACAGACACACTGAGGAAAAGCGATACAAAAACCACAAGAAGAATGCTCTTCACAAGCCACAGAATGCTGGAGCCAGGAGCAAGGAGCAAGGACTGGAAGCGATTCTCCTTCTCCTTCCCAGCCCTCTGCAGAAGGAACCAGTGCTGCTGACTCTGTGGTTTTGGACTTTGTGTCTCCAGATCTGTGAGATGATAAATTTCGGTTCTCCCAGCCACTTAGTCTACCGTGCTTTGTTAAGGCTGCCTCAGGCATCTAACTCCATGCCAAATAAAGAACGCGCATTTAAGGGCCCAGGTAAAAGAAAGTCCTCCATATGAGAGTCACACTGTAGTCACCCAGCACATTAGAAAGCGAAATCTCTCAAACCTCACCCCGATGCTCTTGCTGAGGACCCGAATTCAGTTCCCAATACCCACATTGGCCTTCTTACAACTAACTACCTGTAACTCCAGCTGTAGGGGATCCGACTCTCTTCTGATCTGAGTACATATCTACACACACACACACACACACACACACACACACACACACACACACACAAACATGAATCTTTTTAAACACAGTGAAGAATTTTGTCACTGTGCTGGGGCCTCCATCTACCCTGTGATAATGTAAATGGCTCTCATGGGATGTGCCTTCAGGCTGCAGAACCTTCTGGTTTACTCAGTTTTATTGGTGCCTGGTCTACTTTCCGACATCTTCCCTGTCAGTGTCCTGGAGAGTACAGAGCCCTGATTAAAAAAAAAAAAAAAAAAAAAAAACTAGCTTCCTGCCAATCTGGAATGACATTTGAGTCTAGAGAGAAGGTACCCAGTATCATGGGTTGTCTTTTCTTCTTCCGACTCATCTCAGCCAATGGCCATGAGAACTGCACGCTTCCCCATTCTGCGGTCACCACACACACTCTGCACAAATTCTAGGCCATTTCTTTTATAGCCATCTTTCCAGGGAGAGGGCGTTGGCTTGTGCAGAGGAAGGGGAGGGCGGGCAGCGAGGGCTGGAAACCGGGAGATCGGCTCCGCCAGGAGCAGCTTCCTCTTTGTGGTTTGGAAAAGGAAGAGTTTGGACTAGATAGTATTTAATGAGAAATCTCCATTCTTGCGTTTGACTTTATATCATGCAGTTTATTTACTGTGTGTTCTCGGGCAAGTTACCAACAACCTAAAAACCATAATTCTGTTCTCATATTCAGAAACCAGGGCTATTTTGTATTATATATTCATCACCACATTTCTAAATGGGTGTGAAGTTATTGACTAAAATAGCAGAGGAATGCATGAGATAGCACAGGCCGTAGTTACAAGCTCATCCCTCTGCTTGATGCATTTCAAGTCCATAGAAGATTCTGTACGTGATGAGGCCCTTAAGACTCCGCTCCCGAGCGCTGGTGCACAGAGGAGCACAGTGTGGGAAGGACTGACCTCTGAACATTTCTGGAAAACACTACAGAGACGGAATTATCTTTAGGGCTTCAGACACAGAAGCAGACGCAACTGCAGGCGTGAAGAAAGACATTTGTCATTCTACTGTGCACACCTTTTACTGTGGTCTCTACACAGTAGAAGGAATGGTGTCTCCATGGGTTCACAGAAAACCCCTGCTTTTCTAAAAATGTTGGATTGAGATTTCAGTACTAGAATGAAAAGAAAACTAAGAAACCTGGATAAGTTGATTGGTTCACTAAGGTTTCTCCACTTAGTACCAAGTATTATTATGAGCGGATTCTCCCAATTGGATTCACACCCCACACTACCCCAAATAAAGTCATCCTTTGTGCCTGTAGCAAGTATTCCAAGACAATTCCCTTCCCCAGAAGATACCAAAATCCATGATTTCCAAGTACCTTACATAAAATGATGACTTTTGTGTATACCTACACACCCTCTGATATACTCTAGGTTACAATGTGAATACTGTGTAAAGAGTCACTATACTATACTACTTAGGGAATAGTGATGAAAAATAATGAGCCTGGTGTTTTTGTTTGCTTTCGGTTGCTATGATAAACACTGTGGCCAAAAGGCAACTTGGGGAGGCAGGGGTTTATTTCATCTTAACACTTCTGTAGTTCCCTCATAAACACTTCCCTCATAAAGGGAAGCCAGGACAGGAACTCTAGACAGGAATCTGGAATCATAAACTGAAATAAAGACTATGGAGGAATACTGCTTACTCACTGGCTTGCTTCCAAGCTCATGATCCGCTACCAACTTCATATAGAGCCCAGGCTCACCTGCCTAGTGCTGCCCACAGTACACTGGACCTTCCTACATCAATCAGCAACCGAGAAAATGCTCCACAGATGTGCTTACAGCTAACCTGATAGGGGCAACTCCTCAACTATTTCCCCCTTTCCTAAGTGGCTCTAGTTGATGACCAAGATTAGTTCCACAGTTGGATACGTTTGGGACAGAAAAAGACAAACAAACAATTTTTCACAGTTCTAGAGATCAACCATAAGGCCTTATATATGTAAAGCCCTTACATAGCCCTCTATACTGAGTTATACTCCTGGACCATTAAAATAACACTTTTGTTCATGATTGGTTTGAATGTGCAATTGTTGAACATGAAGTGCTGACTGTGCTTGATTCTCAGGGAGAGCTCTGGATGCAGCTAACAAAGTGAGTGACCTGCTTGGCAATGAGAACGCACTTTCCCTCCCATTTAGAATGCCTATTCTGTAATGCATTTCTAGTGTGGATTACCCTGAAATGCAGTCACCAAGATGTGAACGTGAGGCAAGGGGAAGAGACTTCTCTGTGCTGTTTCTGGGCCTTGACTTTTATTGCATTATCCCATCTGAGTCCAGAAAAACTTCTCTGAGAGCAGCTAAGACATTCCTAGTATTTATGACAGATACCAACAAAGTCAGAAACACAGAAATGGACAAAAACCACTGTGTCATCTCACTGCGGGTAAGGTTTTTACCAAGCATCAGGCAAATCTGAGCTGGCCTCCTCCCGAGACACTCCAGGTTAGAGGTCAAGGCTCGTGAAGGAAGGATGCCCATCTCCAGTCTGCAAAGGACCTGGTGACCAGAGTGGCCCGACCTCCTTGATCCTCATTCTTATACCCTCAAGGCACGAGGGTCAACATCACAACCCATACATTTCACAGAAGCAGAATTCGAGCATAACTTGTTTCTGAATGTTCATAAAACATACTTATGTTTTACTCAGGATGGCAGACAGGGGACACACTAACCTTCATCCATCACCTAGAGTTCTAGACATAGCAAAACCTGCCTTTACCAAGTGAAGGTGGCTTACCAGGTGGACCACATAATCACTAAGACTCCAGCAGAGGTGTGTGGGGGGTGATGGAACAGGTTCTCATTTTTTTTTTTTTTTGGCATCTAATTTTTATTAAAACAGAGGAGTGGTGGACATAAGGAAAAGAAAAGTCAGAGCCAGTCTTGGAAAGGTCTGTGCGACAAACCAAAGATGCTGAGTTCTTATCATCTCTAACCAGCAACCCGCAGGGAGAGAGGATCCGGACAAGGGAGCCAATTCACTTTTAAGGCCAGTCTTTCAAATCAAAGAGACCATAGCCAATCAACCTCAGCTGTTCTGGGGGTCATGGCATTTCAAACTCCAAGATCTGAGACCCAGGGCAAGATAGCACGGGAAGAGAATAGCCTATCTGTGTGAGTTTCAGGTGACAAGCAGACCACTGAGTGACCCACAGATACAGACAGCAGGCCTGCTGTGGGCCCATGTGACCTCCCTCTCAGATGCTGTGTCACCAGAGGGAGACGTTCCCTTGGGGAGACTAGGAAGAAAAAGGGAACGCACTGGCTAGTTTTTATAATAGCAGGCCAGTTTGTGTCCACAGACGCTTGTTGCAAGTGAAAGTAAGGTTTAGGAGGAATTCTTCCTAGCTTAGGTGCCCTTGAATGTACCCCTAAAGAAGCTGGGGCCACAGCATAACGGGCAGATGAGAGCTCTGAGCAGGCTCAGTTGATCCGCTTTGATGAGTTCGTGAGTCTCTACGCACAGTGAGTTTCTCTTTGAAAGCGGGTGTTAAGGTTCTGACAGTATTTCTGTCCTTCACATACCTGGGCGGGCAGGGCTCCGTGTTACAGGCCTGACTCATGGCTGGAGGACGGTGCACCATGTCACACAGGCTGTCATTGACGGTCTGCTGGGTCTGGGTGTGTAAGCACACAGCGATGGCTTCTTGATGGCCTGGAAGGTGGAAAGAGAAACAACGTGGACATAGAACAACTCACCATGCAAAGAAAAAAACAGGATTTGGGGACTTCACGTCACTAGGACATTGCCCTTTCGACTGCATCAGAAGCCATCTGTGAGCAAACCCCAAGACTCCAGCCCTTAATACCTCTAGACTCAGTCCCACTCCTCTATCTGCCAAGATCTACTTACCTGGAAACATGTCGGAGCAGCCTACACTCAGAATCAGCTGCTTCCTAAGGAGAGCTAGGTGTACCACACACACACACAAAAACTCTCCACCCCACCCCCACAGTCAAGGTGTATCTTCCCATCATGTACAACAGTTTTCCTAAGGGAAAACTTTATATGTTCCGCTAAAGAATATCATTTTTTTTCCTAGATCACCACACATTAATGAATCTCGTTGTACTTTGAATCATACAATTTGAAAGCAATTAGTGATGCTTTTGTTGGCAGAAATGCCTCCCATTGCAAAGCTTGTGATGTGCTTTCACCTAAGTCTGCAATAACTCATGAGGCCAAACAAATGGCATTCGTGTCTCCATTTTATTCATGTAACAGTAAGGAATTTGAAATGTAGAGAGCCATTGAGACTGAAGCGGTGGTAAAACAAAAGCTGAAGAGTTGGCCTGGGGGATGGCTCAGCCGCTGAAGTGCTTGCTGCATAAGAGGGGGAGACCCGGAATTTAGATCCCAAACCCAGGTAAATGCTCAGTGAGTGTGGCCATTCCTCTGAATTCCAGCCTCAGAAGGCAGAGCTGGGACCCCACAACAAGCTGTCAGGGGAGACCAGCCAAATCCAAATCCATATCCATGAGCTCTGGGTTTGATTGAGAGACTCTGCTTCAGGGAATAAGGTGGATGACTGATTAAGATGATTCCTGAAATCACTGAGGGCCTCTTAGGGTACATCCACACGTGTGCCGGGACATGTGCAAATATACATATGCAAATGCACAATACACATACACACACACACACACACACACACACACACACACACACACACCTGAGAATGGAAAGGTAAAAATAGATAATTAGGTGGAAAAAGCCCATGGAAGAGTGAATTCCCTGCCTCTGGATTCAGTGGTCTCTGTTTTGTACACATGGCCTTCACATGCAGCAATAGCCCCCTGTATAAATGTGAACACTCAAGGGCATAGGTTCCTCTGGAGGCCAGACAGACAAATCTATGTGACTCCTAAAGCCAGCACTCTCAACCAGTATTCTTTGTCTGTTGAGTGAAAAATGAAAGAAATTATTGGAAACTTGCAACTGGGTGAACTAGGACTCAAACTTTTGATGAAAAATATCTAGTGAAAACACTTACAGTGACTGCCTGTTGTTTGAAATACACAAACATTTTCACTTTTACATCAAATGTACTTTCGATTATGTTACAAGATTGCGGCCCTTTTTCTGAATGCCACGTTTCAATTCAACCATTTTACAGCATTTTGCAGAAGGTAGTATAGGCCAAAATACTTATAAGATGGAAATTTTGTTTGTTCGACTCTCTCTAAGTTTTCTCCCGATCTTCATCTGCACTGTTATGCTCACCACAATGGCAAGATGCAGTTGGCAGGTCCCTTCTTTGAGTATTTCACACAAGGACTGATTACCCCCAAATGCAAGAAGACATGGCTACAGCCTCGGGTCTCTGACTTTTATTTCAAAGTATCAAGTCCCTTAGTAACCTCATAGGAGAATGGATGCTCATTTCCTAATAGATTTTGTTGTTTGTTTGTTTGTTTTTTTAAATCTGTGGTCAGTATGTAAAATGAGTAGAAAATCTCTTAATAAAAAAAGGAAAATAAAATAAAATAAAATTTTAGACAAAGTAAAAAAAAATCTAAGAAAACTACAGTCATATTTCAAATACATTTCAATTTGTAACAAATTCCTTACAGAATCTCTTCAGAATATTTTGAATGTTCTGTGGAGACAGACTTGGGGAAGTTCTTTGAGCACCACTTGAAATTGTTTGGAAAGAATTTACAACACCCATGACATACTTTTTGTTAACAGAAAAAAGGTTAAAATCTACTAAATAATTTGGGATATTTATTGGTATAGAATATATTTTCCAGAGGTGGCCACAGAATATTTCCTAGACCACATTTTGATCCAACAATGTGATTTTAACATTCCTTTTTGGGGGAAGTTTGATCAAATAGTTATCTTTAAAACAGAAAAAGGTAAAATTTAAAATTCATCAAAATAAGTTCATGTTATTCCTAAGAAAATTCAGGTCACTATATTTCCACACTTAGAACATGTTAATGAATGTGTTCAGTGAAGTTTATATAATAAATTCCTTTTGTTGCATGAGAATATATCCCTCATACTTGATTTCTACAGTGTTTGGATAAAAGTGTCATCTCTTAGTTACA